TAGCCGAGAGTCTGACGCCTTAACCACTCGGCTACCGCGCCCCCCCCCCAACTCCCCATACAAGGTTGTAACCTTTCAAATTTTCACTCTTTTTGCCATTTTTCAAATGTCGTGCAATCAGGATTCGGTTCTTAGCTATTTAAGAAGTGGCCACGAGGAGCTGTTAGTGAAGTGATAATTCTTTTACTTATTAATAATCCATTATGTTTAGTGGCCTAATTGACCAAAATACTTCTTTCAATTAATTATTCTTTTTATGTAAGGTCTTGGTTGAGATGAAAAAGTTAGTGTCACAAGCGGGATTTGAACCCACGACTTTCGGCTCTACACCTCTGCTCTAACCACTTGAGCTATCGTAACTTCGACTTTCATCTCGACCAAGAAGTAATTTGGTCAATTAGGCCCCTAAAAATAATGGATTAATATTTAATAATATAATAATAAGTAAAAAAAGTATCACTTCACTAACAGCTCCCCATGGCCATTTTTTTACTCTTTTTGCCATTTTTCAAATGTCGTGTAATCAGGAATCGATTCTCAGCAAGTGGCCACAGGCGTTGAGCCGAAGGTCGAGGGTTTGAATCCTGCTCATGATGCTTTTTCATCTCAACCAAGACCTTACATAAAACGAATAATTAATTGAAAACTAATTTTGTCAATTTGACTACTAAACAATGAAGTTTTATTACTGTTGATGTCGAAAACCAAATTGAAAAAGTAAAAGCAGTGAATGTTATTAATTTGTTTAAACATAACAAATTTCTAGAGCTGTAGATAACGACGGTAGAATATTTATAGGTCGAAAATCATTTGGTGATGAAACTTTAGGAAATGATAAAACAACAGCTTGCTTCCACACAGAGGGAAAAGTTGATGCAGTTTCGGAGAAATTAAAAATATGTGCTATATATTTAATGGTGAATGGAAGGGAGAGCAAAATTTGTATTTATTTATTTTTTTTTTTTTGTATTTTATTATTACTTATTTTAAGTTATTAATTTATTTATACTTCATTATTACTTATTAAAACTTATTTTAAATCCATTATATTTAGTTGTCTATTGACCAAATTACTTATTTTTACTTAAGGTTTTCGTTGAAATGAAAAAGTTAGTGTCACGAGTGGGATTCGAACCCACGATCTTCGGCTAGATATGCCGCTGCTCTACCACTTGAGCTATCGTGACTTCGGATTCCACTCGGACACCAACTTCCCATCTCAACCTCACCTTTTGAATTTTCCCTTCTATTTGCCATTTTTCAATAAAAATAATTTAAATCCCCATAAAATAAATCCTCATTTCTTTTCAGCAAAAATACATAATACATACGCCGCTGCTCTAACCACTTGAGCTACCGTTATTTTTAATCTTGACTTCAGATTCTTGGTATAATTTTATTTTAATCTATAGCATTTTATTATTCAAAGAGGTCTTGAGTTTTAAAGTGAAGAGGGTTTGTGATATTAATTTATTCATCGTATTAAAAGTGGATGTTGCACGAAAATTCAATTTTTCCGTGAATTACATGATGCTAGGTGATGTATGTGTTTAAACAATTTTTTTCTCTCGTTAACAATATTATTAAAAACAAAACGTCCAGAATTTAAGTCGTTGAATATTGCAACAAAGGTAATAACAAAAGTGACAATCGAGTTGTCAGTTTCTATCGATTGTTGTCAAAAGCCGCTTATAGAAAACCTTAACACTCCATCCCTAAAAGCCTTAACAGCCAAGTAGGTAACAAACAAGCACAAATACCAAGTCATCGTGGCTCATTGGAAATCGCCTCGCTTTTAAACTAAAAAGTTCTCTTGCTTTTCAATAATAAAATGGCTTTGGAAGCTTTAGTCGGAATAAAAGAAGATCTTTTTAAAACGGACAGGTACAAAGTGGACAGTGACAGCTATGATGTAGGCAATTTCAAAGATTGCCTGAACCTGGAGCTCGCACCTATGGCATACGTAAGAAAAACCTTATACATTTTTTTTTTTATTAAGCCTTTTATTATAATTTTACTTGAGAGAGTTGAGTGTTTTAGGGCTTCGTATTATTCAATAAGTTCTGACTTGTTCACTAAGATATTTTAATGGTAGCTTTTGCAGTAGCTCCATTTATTTTTGATACCTTTATGAGATCATTGCACGCAAAATATTTTTAAAAAAGACCTGCAGAGGCCAAAACTTGTTCTTGCTGGTCAAATAAGCCACCGGCTTTCCCTGTTCTTGGTGCGCAGAAACAGCTCCAATGCTGTGAGCTGATTGGATGTCACCGGGATTTCGCCGAACGCTAAAAACTCGTTGCGCACTGCACCAGTCAATTGCCCAAGTAAAATTTCGCCAGTGTTTCACACGTGGGACTAGCGACTGCGCACATGCACACCCACATGCTACAATTTGCTTCCTGTCACACAACACTTTTTTTTTAATAACAAGAATCATTTAAAATACAACCTTTCCTATTTTGTACTTCTATCTTGGGACAGTGCTCACTCAGGCTCACTTGTGCTAAGCATGTAAAGAAACAAGCAGAATTGGCAAAAATTGCGGGATATTCTGTTTGGAAGAAGGCTTATGTGCTTCTATACCGCTCAGGTGTGGGGTATGAGGAGGAAGGTGTGCTATATGTTTGTCAGATTTTTTTTATTTGCCTCATTTCATTCACTTCCTTGAAACCAAGTGGACACCATGTCAACTTATACAATGAGACTTCACCTTAAATACCTAGTAAAGTTTCCATGCCTGGCCACCTCCTGGCGTTGAATGCATAATGGAAGATGCGTTTTGGGTAAACAATTTTATGTGCCTGGTAAGGAAATAAATCTCGGATCACCTTTCATGGATGGATGGAAAAATTACTGGAAAAGGGCATAATTTTTTTTTTAAATTTACTGTTGAGAAATTAACATATTTCAAGACATGCATCTAAATTGAAGTTTAGCAGAGGAAGACTACCGAGTATAGGGATAAAAGAGGCGGCTACAAAACCTTCTACACCTCAACCTCTAGTAGATCTATAGTACTGCCCTGTTTTTTATAACTCACTGGCCAGTTTCAGGCCATGCCAGTGGTTCCTTAGTGGAGGATCTTGCTTGCGGTTTTTCCTGTTCTAGTTCCAGGAAACCTGCACCTACATAGACCTTCACAGAAACAAAGTGCAGTCTCCTCTTCTTCCTGATAGTATCTGCACAATGTTTCTTCTGTCTGTACTCCTGTCTGGTGCATGTACTTTCTTAAATGACAGTGCCCTGTCAGGAGTCCAACCAGAATCCTGGTTCGGTTGCAGTTACTTTGCAGTAATTCCTTTGTAAGTTTTGCAGATGGCCCTTCTATGAATCTCTTTGCCTCATACCAGTGGTATTGTTCACCAAGTTTTGTACTCATTAAGTTTCTACTTTAAGATGTATCCTCTTGTGGCAAGATGCTAAGCCACAGTAGGGTTCAGGACCTAGAGGATCCTTATTGGCTTCCTCTTTGGCCAACATGTCAAACTTGTTGCCTCTATGCCCCAATTGCCTAGGGACCCTGCCAGGGACTATCAGGTAAGCATGCCTAGAAAACAATACAGGAGTCGATCCCAGTTATATTATGATGAAGATAGAGAGAGGCAAAATGTTCTACATAAATTAGGAGGAGGACGCTCAACCATCTGCACATGCTCTGTTCTTAATGTATTTAGAAAAGCAGAGCTGGTGAAATGTGGTTGGCACATGAGGAAACAGCTTGTTGTGTGGATCAAATGGGTGGATGAAAAAAAAAAAACTCAGATTTTTGCAGAGCTGCCTGGAGATGCCCGGGATTTTTCATCGGATAATTCAATATTTAGTGTTTTGGTCCAAGAGTACTTTTAATTTATATTATACCTTCAAGAAATTTGTTTTATTATAGTCTGCAGGTTTCATTCTTTCTTTTCAGACTGTTCTCAAGTAGTCTTTGTCCCAAATCATCCTCCATTCTCTCCCATATCCATCACCTATAGAGTCCCCTAATGCTTAAACAACTCTGCTTCGCTTTTCTGCTGTTCATTAATGATTTGCCAAAAAGATGAATCTCAAATTTACCTTCCTTCCACTTCCCCACTTACAAGCTGCAGTTGTAATAATTGAAGAGGACTTAAAGTCAATTAGCTCCTGGGATGCTGAAAAATTGGCGTAAGTTGGACTTAGAAAACTCCCAGGCTATTGTGTTTGGATTCAGTCCTCTTCTCCATTCCTTACAGTCCGTTTACAATTAATAATCATTCTACTTCCTTCTACTCCACTGCAAAGAACATTGGGAATGTCCTAGATCCGATCTTGTCCTGAAATCTCCCAGATTTCCCGACGCTGCTTCTCCTCCCATCAGTTCTATCTTCCAGGCTGCCTTTTTCCATTTAGTCCTTAATTCCTAGTTTCCTTCTTTATTATTCCCCCACTTTGGTTATAGATTGAATACGAGGCTCTATGGGGAACTTTCAAATGGGCTTAAATGTCTAACGAATTGTTTTGTACGTTTTTTCTTCAGCTCTCCGAGGTGGTCCAACATGACTGATGTGCGCATATTTATTTGGCTCCTTCCTATATCAGATGTATTTCCTCACTTTTAGACCATTCATTCCTCACTCTATCAGCTCAGCCCCATCTTTTCCTTTTTCAAATCCCATTTCCTTGATTACTTCTTGTCCTTATAACTTGATACCGAAGATTTTAGACTTAGTTTAATTTACATAGCATTCAACTTCGACAACCAACTCTGGGCTTGGCTGCCTTCACTCAATTAAAGTTATTAGAACAACATTGGTTTGTAGGGTGCTTAACCGGAATTTGCCCATCAGGGCTGCTGAAGATTGGGCCAATAGCCCAAAACGTACAAATAATAGAAACCATCACTATGTTCGTTTTTTTCTTCCAAATACCCTTTATATATATTTGGATCCATGGATAACATACAGTTTACAAAATAAACTTTAAAAAAGAATTAATTAATTTGAAAAAAAAAAATTGGCAAAATCTGTATTTTTTGCCTCTCCTTTCTTAAAACCTTGGCATTATGCTATTTGTCAGACTTGTGATTTTAAATTTATTTACTGTCACTTTATTTTGGGTAATAATAATTTTCAAATATTTCCAGCCTGATTCTGCCATTGCCGAGTTTACTCAGGATGAAGCTGGCAGGCCGATTAAAATTCAAATTGACCATGGTACAACCACTCTCGGATTTGTCTATAAAAACGGCGTAATCCTGGCCGTCGATTCGAGAGCGACTGGCGGAAAATACATCGGTAAATCTATCAATGCTTTTGTGTATTTCCTTCTTAATGAGTTCTCCTTTTTTTATTTTAAGGTTCCCAGGGGATGAAGAAAATCGTCGAGATAAACCAATTCCTCCTGGGCACAATGGCCGGTGGTGCTGCAGACTGCGTTTACTGGGACAGGGTCTTGGCGAAACAGTGCAGGATGTATGAATTGCGTAACAAGGAAAGAATTTCGACAGCAGCCGCTTCAAAAATCATGTCAAATATGGCATACAGTTATAAAGGAATGGGCCTGTCAATGGGCATGATGATCGCTGGTTGGGACAAAAGGGTAAAAATTCATATTTTTAAACACTTCTTTTTATTTAAAAAACTTAATTTTTTTTTTAAACACAAGGGACCTTCTTTATATTACGTTGATTCTGAAAGCACACGTACGCAGGGAAATGTTTTCTCTGTTGGCTCTGGTTCAGTTTATGCTTTTGGCGTGTTGGATGCTGGTTACAATTTTAATTTGACAGATGAAGACGCTTATGAATTAGGGCGTAGAGCCATTTATCAGGCTACATTCAGAGATTCCTACTCTGGGGGTCTCATTAGAGGTAATTCAACATATTACTTTTTTTTTACATTATATTAACGTTAATTAATTTTTAGTTTATCATATGAAAAATACTGGATGGGAATGTATATCAGTACAAGATTGTAAGGACCTTCACTACAAATACTATCCTACTGAATAAACACGTCGTTTGCATTTTTTGCATTAAAAATAATTCTTTTTTTCAATGTATCGTCAATAAATATAATTTACATTTAATTTGATATTTTATTTTTACCATACTGAGCGATTTTTGTAAAATGAGTTTTAAAATGTATGTATATTTTGTTATTACAGCATAACACGTTGACTGCGGTTGTCATGGCTGTTATTTTAAATAAACCATTAAATCAATTCGCCAGAGTATTTTCAGGCCTGCAGTCAATGGTGTTAACTGCCATTAAAATTTGACTTGATAATATTAAACTTTTTTTATTCCTGTCGTTGGATGTTGCGCATATGAGGTTAAGGTTACATTAAATTCACTAATTTCGTGGTCCGCTTGACCAATTAATACATTACAATTAATTAAGGTTTTTAGTTGAGAAGAAAAAAAAGAGCAGGTCACGATAGCTCAAGTGGTAGAGCAGCGGCGTATCTAGCCGAAGATCGTGGGTTCGAATCCCACTCGTGCCATTAACTTTTTTTCATCTCAACTAAAAACCTTAGTTAATTGTAATGTATTAATTGGTCAAGCGGACCACGAAATTAGTGAATTTAATGAATTAACTGAAGTACACTTCACTAAAGTTCTCCGTCGCCATTTCAATTGTCAAGAATCCAAACCGATTACACGACATTTGAAAAATGGCAAAAAGGAGGGAAAACTCATAAGGTGGGGTTGAGATGGGAAGTTGATGTCCTAGTGGATCGAGGTCACGATAGCTCAAGTGGTAGAGCAGCGGCGTATCTAGCCGAAGATCGTGGGTTCGAATCCCGCTCATGCCATTAATTTTTTTTCATCTCAACTAAAAACCTTAATTAATTGTTAAGGTTACAGTTAGGAATCGACCTCTTTACAACCTTGATCACCATGACCAATATTTACATATTTGCCTCTTGTGCAAACCACTTGTTTTTCCAAATAATTCTAACCTCGGACTGCCAAAACCCGAGGTGGGTGATTTTCAAGGAATATCAGTAAATAAAAATAAATTACACCTGATGAAGTATGTGAAATATGCTTTTATGAGTGTGAAGATTAACATGTTCTTGCAGTAGACCTTAAGGGGAGCCAAAGGAGGTTGTAATGTGTAAAATAAATTTAATTTAATAAATTAACCGTACAGATTAGTTGGGTTCAAACACATTGAATGTGTCAATTATTTTCTGGTATGGCCAATGATTGTTCTCTGCATTATTTTACAACTTTTGTAGGGAGAAATAAAGTGAAAGAGTGATTTAAAAAAAGAATAAGCTTAAAAAAAAAATTTAATAGATGAATAATTGAATGATAACATAAATTGATTGTTTTATAAAGTTTCAAAAGAAATAGATCAAAATTTTGAACATAATTTTAATTTTGACATAAAACTACAATATAATTATGATATACAAATTAGCAATTAATTGATTAAAAGTCAAAAATTTTGGAACTTACACCATTTTATTTTTGAAAACTCTTCTTGTAACTTAGTTTGGATCACATTCTCGATCATCGGAGTGATTGTGTCTCTGTAAGATTCTAAGACCCATTCGACAATCGGCCCTTCTAGACTGTTCAAAATAGACAAACCTGTAATTCTGACATCCAACTTATCAAATTTTGTAATTTTGACTTTTGTCAGAGTGACATTGCAGTGAGGCAGCAGAGTGACGGTCAACTCGATGAAAACAGAGTTTTTCCCTATGCCGACGTAAACATCACCAGTTTCAGTAATGAAAGACATATAAACTTTGTAAAAAGGAAAGTACAAGCTCATCTCATTGAATCCGACTTCAAAAGATAGCTTATATGAAAAAAGGCTGTGCTTGATGCTCGTAGGTCCCTCTCTCGTAATCGATGCCGGGTTTCTAAACGTACCATTGTATCCTATGAATCCTCCATTTACGTTAATATCAAGGATTGTTGTAGTAAAAGTAACATTTATAGGTTCTATAGGTACAGAAGTTTCATTATTCGTCAGTAAGATGAGCCTGACTTCAGCTAGCAAAGCATCGGTTAATATATCCAGCTTATCCGCTCTTTTATTCAAATCATGTTTCGTAAAAGCAAAACTGCCGATCAAAACACTCGATACACATATAAATACGAAAAAACAATTCATGTTGGATCACTAGTAGCAGTTACACTAAATAAAGACTGAAGATAATGATTAAACAAAAAATCAAAGGTCATGTAAAATCTGACGATCCGTTGCTTTGTCAATTCATGAGATGGCAGATAACATTTCTAATAAACAACAAAGGAATGATTAATCCTATTTTTGGAAATTTCTATGTCCGATTACCTAAAACTTTATTACTCATTAATTTCAGCATTATTGCTGACTCAGTTTTGTTATTTGTGTTTTGAAGAGCAGTATATCAAATTTAATAGTAAGTAACCATAAAAGCCATTTAATTTTGTTTTAAGGTATAAAAGGGCTGATATAAAAGGCTTTTTTCAAAGTTAAAAATGTAATTTTTTATTTATCACAAAAAATGTATTAAATAAAATAAATACAAACACACACAATTCAAAGCAAATTGAATAAACAACATATAATATTTAAATACATTACATAAATATATGACTTATAAGATTGACTATGCTTGTTTCTGTCATCACAAAAATTTATTTAAAGCACAATTTATAACAAAACAAAGAATATTGTGATACAAATTACATTAAAAAACAGTTGACTAGGTTTTTACACTGGTCCAAAAAGTGCAATTAGAAACACAAAAAAATACATTTTGACTTTATATGTATATATATTTAGTCATTTTTTAAAGTATGTTACACATATGGTAACTCTCCCTTAGCTTTTGTAGGCTTGGTAACTGGATTTTGCGAGTAGACAATTGTAGCTACTACAATTAAACCTATAGATGCCAGAGTGTTAAGGTATATAGGTATGCCAAAAAGTATTCTAGCGATCACAGCAGTGAAAACGAGTTCAAGAGCGCCTGCAAAAGTCTTCAGTATTGAGTTCAGGTATTTCAAGAAGAAACTTGTTACGATACCGATTGCAACGTTGTTGATTATAACAAACGCAACCTGTAAATTATAGAATACAAAATAAATAAAAAACCACAAACAGTAGGTAAATAGTACCTTGAAATCCAAAAATTGTTTGTAAGTCTGTGAAAAAAAGAGATGAGTGAATTTCCCCTGCCATGTAAATATGACGACCAGGCATATAATTGAATTTATATAATGGTAAGCGTTTTGAATGTAAACGTTGACTTCTTCGGCATGCATTTTTAGTAGATATTCATTGTAAACTCCAGCCAAGCAGGAACAAAGAATCTGAAAAGATTTTTTTTTTTAAATTGTTATGCCAAAAAATTCAAATTGACGAACCTGAGCGATAAGCAGTAAACTTCCAAGTGAATACGATATACTGAGTTCTTTCTCTCCAATTTTTAAATCAGTCTTGTCAGGCATATCTCCAAAATCGATCTGTTTTACCATACATCCCACAGTCAAAACGACCAATGATAGCCATTGCTTAAAACTCAATTTTTTATTAAAAATAAGCTAAAATAGAAAAAAAGTAATAGTATTTATTAATTATGATAAACCATACCTACCATAACATACCTGAAATACAATGCCAGTCAACACCACCCTCATTTGCAACGCAACAAAATATGTTGTAGGATCAAAAGTGGAAAGGTTCATGTAAGTCAAGTTATTATACACAGCATAAAGACTAGCAGGGACAAAATATAGAGCAAATACTGCAATTTAAACAGAATACAAACAAAATGTTTCCTCTGTTATTAAAAATAAATGTAAAAGATAAGACAAATTACCTTTCATATTGCCTTTAAATTCCATCACTAAATTGAATAAGGAATACCTAAAATAAGGAAAAAATTAAAATTCAAAAACACTAACAACCTACCCTAAGAAATAATTGGATGTAGTGTATGGTTTATACTGTAATGCAGGTCAAATAAAATTTTTGCAATGCATATTGTAAATAAGTATAATCCTTTACTAATAGGAAAATCTCCCAAAATTTTATGTAAGTTTGTCATCTTTTTTATTTTACTAGGAACGATTATTCGGAAATCGTGAGATAGTCTGGTGTGATGTAGGTTTCAGAAAAACATTTTCTTTATCTTGCCAATGTTTCGATCTTTATCTAGATCATCTTCAGGGCCTGGGATTTACAAACATTGTTTATATTTAACAAATACATGTAGGATGTGGAAAAAAGTGAATTTATACAATGCAAAAAATATTTTTTGTATTGTATAAATTCACTTTTTTCCACATCCTACATGCATTTGTTAAATTATTCAGATATATAAAGATTATTCAGAAAATGTTTTTCTGAAACCTACATCACACCAGACCGCATCTCACGATTTCCGAATAATCATTGACTAACGGTCACTAATCACCACACACTTTACTAGGAACCTCAATTTCCCTAAATACACAAGTATAATATTTGAAAACAATTTTCATTTCAACCGACCTTATATAAAAAGAATAATTAATTGAAAGAAGTAATTTGATCAATCAGACTACTAAACATAATTGTTTTAAAAACAATCTCGGCATCGGGAGACTGTATCTGATATTATGTTTAATTAAACATTAGGGCTTGAGCATTTGGCTAACCAATAAGTTTTGTTTGTCAATTTTTGTTATATATCGTTTTAGGGCTGGCAATTTACAGTGGTAATTTTTTTTTAATGTTTGGGGTTGAATAATAATTTCGAAAATTCTTTCCTCCATTGCGATCATGGATTTATAGTGGAACCCCTATAAATTAAAACCATACTTTCAAAAGTGCACTTTTTCCTATAAGCATAAGCACTTTCCTTAGTGCCACTTCGCACACCTCTATTGTTGTGAGAATGCATTACTGAAGTGGTAACCAGGCTAATATTTCACATTTACAAAGGCTAGGACAATCTCTGATTCTTCCTGACAGAGTTTGTATGTTTCTGTCTCTGCTTTGCCATTTTAGTAAATATAGAGGCCTGTAATTTTCCTCTAATCTTGTCTGCTGAGAGAGAAGAGTTCCTCCATCTTCCTTTTTGAGAGATTTATTATATGTTAGCTAGCCTCATATCTGGTGCTTTTGTCCAGTGCATGAGTTATTCTTTCTCAAGCCATATTTTAGATATGTTTTTGTGCTGGATACACAATTTTTGTGTGACCATTTTTGCATTTACCGAGGAGTGCTCATGGGTTGGGTTAAGATTAAGTCAGGTATAGTTAGGTTAAGCAAGGTTAATGCAAAAGAGTTCATTAAAGGACCACCTCAGAAACTAAAGACAGAACTACTAAACCTAGGATGTGTTATGAACTAGAATGTTAGTATGATGCTGTCTGAGGACTGCAGACTCTGGAGGCATAAGTACACAAACCAGCAGAACAAGTCTGTAGAGATATTGCCTAGAAGACACTGTAGGACAGACAGACTGTAGGTACAAATGCTAAAATTCATACTCCTCAGGGGGGAAAAGGCCCTAAATAAGATGAATCCTTAAAGTTTGGAAGCAACCCTTCAAATGCATATTTGTTAACTTTTAACATGATGCTTATGTTAGGTGAAAGGTAAGGTTAGGTGAAATAGTTAATGTTAGATGATATAAGTGACTAGGCCCTGAGTCGAGCACTAACAACAAAAAAGCTTAATAATTAAAGTTTTTTTTATATAATTAGATGGAAATCATTATTTTTAATTAATAAAAATAAAACCAAGAGTGCCTTCTTAAATGAATAATAGGTCGAAAGTGAAGTGCCACATACACTCAAAGACAAAAAAAAAAAAAAGGGACACTCATATTTTATTGCTTATTTCAAACCATATGTATTTTTATCGTTATATCAATTACAACAAACTTATTTTAATATAAATAAAATTAAACGAGATCAAAATTCATGACTTTTAATAAAACTGATTTAATTATGATGATTTGAAAGAAAATTCACCAAAATATCAGAAAATCATTTAGTGATAGATTGAAATTTAACTATTTATTATCTAGTTTTGCTCTTAATCACATGAATTATCTCCTCTGGGCTCAAGGAGGGCCTCGAGTTAACTAGGCATCAAGTAAATAAGCAACCAGATTTTATTTTGCAAAAGAGAATCCCGTTCTTCAACAAGACTGGTTTGAAGCTGTTCACTGCTTGTTGTAGGCGTTGGACAATCTGTCTTTATCATGTCCCATAAATGTTCTAGAGGATTCAAGTGAGGCATTGTGGTAATCCCTACATACTCCAAGTAATGGGTGACAACTCAAGCTATATGGGTAGAGCATTATCATGCAGTTGTTGTTTGCCCAATAAATGGGGTGAATAGGAACTCTTCTTTTAGAAGATCTTGCTCAATGTATCTTAGTGCAGCTAAAGACCCATTCTGTATGATAATCAGTTTGATATGGACATGGACTCTACCCCATGCCATAACTGTCTTTGAAAAGGTTGTGCACATGAATTAACAATCTCCACATATGGTCTTGGTTATCTAATTGCTGCAAACCAAATGGGCACTCATATGTGAGGAACAGAACAGCTCCCTTGTTCGAGTGTCTAAACGAGAATAATCACCTTTCTACTCTATGCCTCTTCTGTAGTAGATAACCCGATGCAGGATGCTAGAGACTAAGCTATTCTTGCGAAGCCTTCTGATGACTATTTTACAGCTCATCAGTTTGGAGTTGACTACTTAACAAGGAAGCTGTCAAAAGACTTTTACGTATAGTGGTACGAGCAATAATGTCATACATCGCGGCTGAGCACTACCTTCTATTCGATTGAGACTTCCAGTAGCCCCTGCTAGTCCTTTGTGAATTTTGGAGCGCAGAACAACCATAAGCCTTGTAATGGACGCCACATCCATCGTTAATTTACTCTTCAAGCTTTTTTGTTTTATCTTTGAGTGTATTTTCCAAGTCCAATTATTTTTTAACTTACTGATAAGAGTACAGGCCAAAGGAGCATATTAGCTTTAAGAATTCTGTGAGCAGAACTGCTAAAGCTATATCGTAATTGTAGTGGTTGTTTGACTCCTGGGATGCCGTGACGAGCCATCCTGCGAAAAGAAAAAAGCTCCAGGACTTTGACTTCAACTTCAAACATAAAACTTCGTTCCTCACCTTGATTGACGAACAAAGTTATGTAAATTGCGAAGATCCATGCGGCCTGCTTAGTCGGGAAAACCTCCTGTAGATTCGAGGACAACTTCATCTTTGTCCTAGTGTTTGTCACATTTTTTACGGTTTAATTCATCACCCACGGGGAGATAAAGAAAAAGGAAACGGGGAATTATCAGATTTATTTGTTATCAGATATGCAGGCCGGCCAGATTTCAAGAAAGTTCTCATCTTTTATTTTCTTTTTGGCATAAAAATAACCATTTTAACCAACCGGCAAAGGAAATAATACATGGACAATATCCATAAATGGCAATTGAATAAATAAAACTGTCAAGGTCAAAATTTAAACCTTAACGAATTATTGTCCAATGACAAATTTACAAGTGACAACAAACTACAAAGGCGCAAGGCGAAGGTTACTAAACAAGGTTACTATACAGGTCTCTTTCAGACTGCAATGAACTATGAAGTGACTAATTAATACAAGTCTCTCATACTTAAAAAAAAATTGACTAATGCCATTGATGCCAGAGATGTGAACTAGCCTGATAAACTTACAAACATCTAAATAAAGACTTCAGATTTATTCATCTCTAGATCCACAATTATAATGTTAATGCTGCATAAAAGAGTGAATAAATAAATGATTGTCATATAAAAAACATTTGTTAAAACGTAGTGGGGCTAAGACATTGATCAGAAGTGTCATGGGTGTCAAATATATAACATCCTTAGTTAAACGCTCTCTCTCACACTCTCTCTTTCTCTCTCTTTCTCTCTCTCTCTCTCTCTCTCTCTCTCTCTCTCTCTCTCTCTCTCTCTCTCTCTGTGCGTGCGTGTGTGTGTGACGAGAGTGTGAGAAAGGCATTGACTATGAGTGTGTGACTCTGTATTGTGAGAGAAAAGAGTAAGTGAATGTGGAGCGAGCAAGTGCATGTGAAGATAAGAGAACGAAAGCGAGTGTGAAAAAGAGGGTGAGAGTGGAAGAGAGTGAGCGATTGAATGAATCTCGTTTTATTTTAAAAATCCCGTTCGTTTGGTTTTATTAAAATATTTGTCACTGATACTTCAGAAAACCCCAAAACAATAGTTAACTTATATCCATGGGTGTGAACAACTAGCTGATAAACTTACAATATTTTAAATAAAACCTTATCAGTCTTTATATAACTTTATAATGTTTAATGCTAGATAAAACATCAAAAAATCAGTAGAATTAATGGCCTTTATTTCTTAAAAAATATTCCATTTTTGATGAGTTATAGCAACAAATCATGTCACTAAATATCTTGACACAACAAGAAAATTCAATGTTGAGCCATAATACCTAAAACATTGATTACAAATGTTATAAGTGTCAAATTTTAACATCCTTAGTCAAACCCTGATTCAATGATAATATTTGTCACTGATACTTCACAAAAATCGACAAACAATAGTTAAATAATATATCTGGATAAAACAGTGAATAAATCAATGGTTGACTTGTGTAAAATCACTGAATGGAAGTGTTATAAGTGCCAAATATGTACATCCTTAGTCAAAACCTGATTGTTAATATTTGACTTCTTGTTGCTAATGTGAACGATTTGTCAACCAATTTACAATATTTTAAATAAAATCTGCAATCTTATCAATCTCTATATAACATTAGATTGTTTAACGCTTGATTAAAAATTATTTATTATAACATTACTAGATTTAATGGCATTAATTTGTTAAAAAATAATCTATTTTCTATGTCAGTAAACATCTTGACAAAACAAGGAAACTCAGTGTTGAGACGTAATGCATAAAACATTGATCACAAGTATTATGAGAGAGAAATCTTAACTTTCTTAGTCAAACCCTGATTCAATGCTAATATTTGTCAATTAATTAAGGTTTTTAGTTGAGATAAAAAAGTCAGTGTCACGAGTGGGATTCGAACCTACAACCTTCAGCTTTATCTCAACTAAAACCTTAATTAATTGAAAGATATTAATTGGTCAAGCGGACCACGAAAACTAGTGAAGCTAATATTTGTCTTGATACTTCAGAAAAACACACCAATGTGAGTAACTAGCGACAAACTTAGATATTTGAAATAAAATCTTCTACCTTATCAATCAATCTCTAGATATAATATTAGAATTTTTAATGCTAGATAAAACAGCAAAAAATCATTAGTAAATTTAATGACATTTATTTATTAAAATATATTCCATTTTGTACGAGTTACAGCAACCAATCATTCTTTATTAACTATTTTAACTGCACAACAATTTTAAATGCTTAACAAAACAGTAAATAATTCAATTTTTGAGTGTTAATGACACATTATACAAAATACCATTAGTAAGAGTTATAGTAACAAATTATGTTGTCACTAAACATCCTGACACAACAAGAAAATTTAACATTGAGACAGAGTGACTAAATTTGTGACTAGAAATGCTATGAGGGTCAAATTGACATCAAACCTAAATCAATATTAATACATGTCTATTATACAAAAGACCTTAATGTGATGCCAGGAATGTAAGCAAATTGGCTGACTAACTTACAAATTTTAAATAAAAACTTCAATCTTCCCTATTTTTTTCTATGATTTTTAGCAAAAAAATCATGTTTTATTGGGTGTTTTGACAGCTTAAAATTTCAATTATGACATTTATTTATCAGATTTAAAGGCTGGTCAGATTTCGAGAAAGTTCTCATCTTTTATGTTCTTTTTGGCATAAAAATATCCATTTTAACCAACCGATAAAGGAAATGATACATGGATAATATCCATAATTGACAATTGAATAAATAAAACTGACAAGGTCAAAACTTAAATCTTAATGACTTATTGTCCAATGACAAATTTACAAGTGACAACAAACTACAAAGGCGCAAGGTGAAGGTTACTAAACAAGGTTACTATACAGGTCTCTTTCAGACTGCAATGAACTATGAAGTGACTAATTAATACAAGTCTCTCATACTTTAGAAAAACAAATTGACTAGGGTCAGTGCCAGGAGTGTGTCCGAATTTGCCTGACAAACTTAAAAACATACAAATAACAACGACAATCTTACTTACCTCTGAATGCACAAAAGGATGTTAAAACAGTGTAAACTCAGACAAGGGTTGAGCGTCAATGGCATACAACATAAAATATATATAAAAAAAATTGTTAAAACATTATCATTGATCCAAGCATGGGCTTTTTCTCTCCCAGATTAAGACACTCAGCTAACATAGGTCTAACTCTAACAAGAGGTCATGCCCTGCTGTTTCTTCTTCCTTCTGACTATATCTGCACAGCTTTATTTCTGCATGTTATATATATATATATATTCCTCTGGGGTCTCCAGTTCTACTATTATTAGTCCTAACATATCTTAGGTTTAGTAGATTAGTTTCTGTGATGGTCCTTTAGTGAACTTTTTCACTTTTTTTAAATACTTTAAGAATTCTGAAGTAAAACATAAAATAAATAAAAATCCAAAATTGTAACATTAAATATTTATTTACAATTCTGCTTAACAAACATTTTTTTATATTAAACTATTTATATTTTTACCATATTTTTTCTCAACAAAATATCATGTAACACTGTTTTTTTGTTCTATACTATATGGATCATCCTTTATGTCATGATTAAACACAGAAGTAAAAATTAACGATGTGAATATACTGAATCCAATGTTAAATTAAAGTGTAACAACGGAGGATCCATGTCATCGTTTACAAGAATATCAATGATTTTTATTTTAATAAAAGGCTAAAACCATTCAGTTAACCACCTTTCATAATTTGCCTTGCCTTCTTATAAGTATTATCTATACAAAGCAATGTTTTTAAAAGCGTTAAATAAATGGATTTTCTTTTTTTTTCTCCTCTTTTGGAAATTGGTATATTAGCATTTATAAATTTAACTATTCTAAAATACTAATAGTTTATGAAATGAGTTCAGTATTCTTCATCGATTAATAACTTTTGTGTAATTTAGGATGAACAAAATTAATAAAAACGTCATGGCCAAATAATAATAAAATGATATATACAATAATACAAGTTAATTAAGTACAAAGTTAAGCAAAGAAATAAAAATAATTATTTACAAAAGTATAATTTACAAACTTTACAAATGCTCAAATAAGTACCTTAACAATTAAAAACATAATCAACATAAAAAGGGCAATGTTTACATTATAAAATGATTTGTAAAATTGTCTATAACAAAAATAAGTACTATCACCAGTTACAATCTCTTTGATTCTAACAATGCACTTACTTTATTCTCAAATTTCCTCTTTTTAAATATTAAAGCATAGTTTTTTTTTATCTATATACAAATAATTACAAGCAAAAATATTGGAATTTCTTGCATTTGTCTTCATAAATTTGATTTAATAAATTACACATTTTATCACTCTACCCTTGTGATATAATTGCACGTCATTATTATGTACCTTTTCTATTATGTACATATAACAAATAATGATATGTTAATATACATATATATAAATATTTATAAATATAAATACCTAAACATTATGGACGCTATTTACGATTGGTTCAACAACAATATGACATTCAAAGTTTGATATTCCAGATCTTAAATTGCAATTTTGAAAAATCAACTTGAAATAGAAATAAACTTCCCTGAATTTATAAAAATAAATTTCCCTAAGACATTCTCCCAAAGCTGACTCTGCTTAGGCTTCTATAGTGCAAGTGTTATAAAATATAATAATTCATACTATTATTTAGAAGAAATGCAGTGACCTAAAGAACCCTAATAGTATTTCTGAAGCATTTTTTTCAACCTATTTGAACATAGGGAATGTATCATCATCTTTAATACTGTTATCTGTGAGGGGGAATATAGGCTTTGATCACATTTGCACCTCAAATGCTTTGACCGGCGTTGTGTTATTCGAGTTTGTGAGGAATGGGTTGGTTCCCCTCTGCTGGGACAAAGGAGGAGGTACCCACTCGGATTCAAAGGGATCGTTTCTGAAAGATGTCGTGTCCAACGACTGCGCCCGAAGGTGGGCCAAGCCTGGTGGCCTACTACTCGCCACGGCTGCAACTTTTCCGAGCCATTGGTCTGGCCTAGGAAGCTCACTTATTCCTAAAGGTGGTGTAGCCGGTGGTGTCAATACCGACCTCGAACCTCCACTGCCTTCGATACTGCTCATATTAAATGAAACTGCATCAATCCGTGCGTTGAAATCACTAGTCAATGAAGTATCTGAAACAATCATTTAAAAAATAAAATAATCTGTAAAGCGTAAAGCATGATTGTCTATAAACAATCCTTCTCATCTATGATTTTGTCTGCAGAAAAGTTTCAACATTTCCATGATTGGTCTGTGAGTTTCCACAATAAATAAAAAATGTCAACAAGGTGAAACATTTTTTTACATTTTACAGGCTTAAAAAATATTGACAAAATAATAGTCAGACTTAGTACTGAATGTGGAAAAATTTTGAATAAGTTTGATAGACCCAACCAAAATGATAAGGGATGTTGCAAAAAAATTATTTTTTTTTTCTTTAAGTCAACATGCAAATTTGTAGATGTTTCACATTTAGTGGCCCTACACCATCAGATTTCTATAAATTTGTTTGTCTACGAGGCCCACATCATCGTTCTCTTCATAATTACTGCAAAAGTCAACATGGCATAAAATTACATAGCTTATTTGTTTAATTTTCATTTAAATATCATAATAAATTGATTATATTGATGTATTGATGAATGATATTTATTGATAAGGTCAATTCTTTCTATGCACATAAGCCACAATTATCACCCACTTTTTGGTTCAGGGTCTTATTTGTCCTAGTCTCCTGGGGCTGATAACAGCTTATTTTTCTTTTATACTATACATTTCCTCTAATAAATACATGCACTCTCAATGTACAGAAAAGGAACACAACTATATAACTACCAAGAACTATTTACAATTAAAAAAAGCTCTGTTTCCTCCAATAATTGGAACAAGGTGGTCCAAAGACTTGCTACCATGCTCAAGCAGAATTCTGTTATCAGATGGCATTCCCACTAGCTCTCTATATGGAGCCAAAGAATACGAAAGGTAGAAAACCCTTCAATTAAGTGGTCACATTGAGCAACCTTTCTCTACAAACTGGACTCAAGAGTTAGTTTCTGTTTATCAGCCTAGTATGGCCTATTTTAGCAAGTTGAGTATGATCCTCAACCATGCTCGTTTTAGGCCTACCACCACTTGCCACTCCTTTTTAATTACGTTGTAAAAAAACTCATATTGTTCCAATTTTGAAATTTGTCAGTCTTTCTAGCCAATTATAAATTATCCAAAAACAACACATTATTCAGTATTCATCAAAGGTCAAGAAGTTTGTCAAAATTTGTTTCTTACCTGGTAAAGTGGATGCAGGCAGTGGATCGTTCGTCAAACCAAATATATTTTTCCCAGAATTATTATTAGAAAAATTCTACAAAAAAATTAAAAGTTTAAACACAACGTTTTTAAAAAATATGTTTAACTTTAAATATACCGTCGATGATGAGAGAATGTCATCTGCGTTGGACAAGAGTTGAAGACCGTGGGATAATTCCTGGCACATCGCGCTCACTGGATCTGCTCTGTCTACCAAAGGAGAACTCTCAGGGATAGGGCTCACTGGGAAAACAATTTCCAAATTAAATTAATGTTAAATGGAAACTATATTAACTGTTTAAACACCTGTTACAAATTAAGTCAAATATTACAACAAACAAGACAATGGAACTTCTACATTTTTTTCATCGGTGAAATTTTAATAATTAAAAACACAATAAACCATTAAATTTAAATGCTTACAACAATTTTGAACAAAGCAAGTGTGTAAGGAAGGAAAGTGACTTATTCTTACAATTTTTTGTTTGTTTTAATTATACTTACACTCAGTGGGCTTCAATACTTTTTATTATATAAAACGGTTATAACTACTACTTAGGGTAGGAATGATAATAATTATTATATCTATGGCTCAACCAATATTGGGTCAACTAATTCAGATAAGGTCGGGGCACATTGAATACGGTTAAATATCAAATTTTGATCTTCACAGCCAACACTTTATTTGTATTTGACTCACTTAAAACTTTAGCTGGCAGCGAGTAAAGTCTTAATCTGTTCGGAGGTCGTACTTCATCGGCTATAACATTACTCTCAATTATTGAAATGATCAACGATGTTAAGGTTCAATTTAGAACAAGGGGCCTTCAAATAAATTATTATTTGAACAACGGAGTCGGGATTTTTTGCAAACTCACTTATGAATTTTGTCGGGAGAGAATAGAGCCTCAAACGGTCCGGAGGTATCAACAAATTCTCTTCAGCTATAAAAAACCAATTATGGTCGAGTAAACAGTTAAAACATTTACAAATGCTTGTAAAAAAAATCTGAGCTTAACTCAGACCCCATCAAGAATGGTGTATAATCATAGTATTTGTCATACTTAATTGTATAAAATATTATTTATGAAATAATTTTAGTAGATTCATTGAATGATCTAAAAATGCTGTTATTGTATAAGGATAGAAGCCATGTTAGAAAGTTTGCTAAATTCAAAAATTAAATTTAAAAAAATGATTAAAAATATATAATTAAAAATTAATTAAACATAAATAATTTCAAATTAATTTAAATAATTCAAAATAATTCATTAAAAACTCAGATTAAATGTTTCAAAAATTGATGATCTGTTTATGTTCAACTAAAACATTATGATAGTTATGATCAACATGTGTAAATCCAATCAAAAAAAGTTTAACAAAACTAGCAATGTTAGTGAATTTTCGCTGTTTAATTTTCTTTGGCATTACCTGGCGTCTTAAGATGTATGAGGGGTGCCGAAGAGGGAGGTTGTCTATTATCAGAATTCCCTTCGAGAGACATTGATCTTGTACGTTCTTGATTACTCGGTAAATCAGTAATCCGCAAAGAAAGTTGCCTTTTGAACGGTGAAGCTTGATTCAGGTGGTTGAACCCTCTGAAAGAGCCTTGCCGAACCAACATTGAAACAGTAGCATGTGGTCTCTCTATAGCGTGAGTGGGCAAAGGTGGTTTGGTGGTAGACATGACCGTCGTAACAGTTTTGGTTGGTGGTGGAGGAGCTTCTGTCGCTGTAAAATCAAATTTATTAAAACATGTGAAAAAAATTGTGAATCTTTGTCATAAATAAAGAAACATACTCGGTACAGGAATATTATTGTTCTTATTCGAGTCACTAGCCAGTCTTTCGGTAATAGTTTGGGCCCTGAAAGAACCCTGCCTTGTAAATGTTGAGCTCGCAGGATCAAAACTCATTGTGACCCCACATTCTTTCTCCCTCCTTTGTTTTCTTTCTAAGCATGCAGCAAATGCACAGCCTACAGCATGACTTAATCGTTCCCCCTAAAATTACAAAAATTACATTAAGATTTTTGTTTAATTTTTGTAGGTAGTCAGTCATTCTTACAGTTTCTTTAAGTGCGAGAAACCCGTGGCACATCCATCGCCGTGTGGTGCCGTCCCTGCAAATATAGGAAAAACCTTTGTCGTGACTTCGGTCTGGAGCACAAAAGGAAACCTTTTCAATCGTCTGATCGACAATCAATCCTTTCGTCTCGTCTTCAACCACCCTGAGACCATCCCCAGACACAAACAATACAGCTTTAACAGGCCTCCTTCTTGAGTTCTTTAAAAATTAAAAACAAAAAAATTATAATTTATATTAAAAAAACACAGAAGGGGAAACTTTCAATAGCTAAACCATCAACTAACTTAAACTTAATTTTTTTTAAAACTTAACTAAAACCACTTACTTAAAAATACACTTACTCTTAAAACTTTAAGCGCTTCTTCACAGACTTGCATCCCTCTTGATTCAAAGACTTCAACACAGCCAAGGTACTAAAACACATTTATTTTTATTTAAAGACAATTTTATGTCATCAAAGCAAAATTGAAAAAATAGACATAAAAATGTAAACCAACTTAGTTTTTTTAAGAAAATGATATTAAATTAAACTTTTTTTGATATTTCAGCAAACCCAATGGTGCAAGGAGAATTTTTTTAATCAAAATAATCCCCAAACTATGAACAGTTGTCAAATATGAAATAGTGACATCATGGTCTGTAATGTTAGGCACAGCGTTTAAAAGTGAAATGTAGAAAAATATTGCTTGGGTCAATTGCTAGAAGGGTTTAGTCACCTGAAAAAAGATGATTCTTGGAAGCAGATCAATCATGAATAAGGCAAATAATAGAAGGCCAAGTACAGAGCCTTGCAGAACTCTGGAGGAACTATAGACTATGATTACTTAGAATGAAAGAATTTAAGAGAAAGCAATAAAAGAAATCTGCTGCTTTTGACTTTTATGCTAAATTTAATCGTTATTTAATTTGTCAACCAAATTCTGCTGTTACAATCTTTTTATTTATGCTACAATAATAAACTATCACAAAAATTATCAATTATAACTGTACTAACAGAAATTAAATAGAAAATGATAAATCTGCTGGTCTTGTAATATCTGAAAATTTCAACAGTCAACTTTATTAACCAATTAATTGATTATTACAAACTGTTTATTTACGATTTTATGACATTATCTCCAATATAATTAGCCTTATATTATTATTTTAAAAGACAGGAGTGAGGACAATTAGAAAGAAAACACTCACTTCTTTCAATGAGCTTTTGAGAAATAATGTATCCCATTCATCAGGACTATGAAACTATGATTTAATACTTTAAAATGTTTAAATATGCCCTTTTATTTACCATTTTGAAACCTATGATTTCAAATACAATTTAAAAAAATTGAAATTCTATAAAACCAGATCTAATCAAAGGCTAGTAGGTCCTATAACAAAAATCTAGCCCTACAAATTGATATATTAACAATGATAAATATAACTATATCAATAAAACTTGAAATAAAAAAAACACCATACATCTCATTTTTTCAAGAATAATTGTAAATCATATGATCGGAAATTATAATGAAAATGCTCCCCCTTTTAGGGTAGTAGGCCATGACAAAATATTTAAGAAAATTCAATTCTATTAGCTTATAAATACTTTTTGCATATTAAAAATACATGTAATGTAAAAAAAAAATCACTAAATGCTGAAAAAATCAAATAGAATACATGCTATAATTGTAACTGTTTTATTTTCAGATTAATTGGGCTGAATAAGAATTTTAAAAAAGTGTTGTTATAATTTTATTATTTTTATAACGATGAGTGTTTTCTTTTTCAATGTAATCCATTTATTTATCCAAGCAGTCAGCATGGCTTCCTATGTTTTGTTTATTTACCTTAACTTGAAATGTACAAGTTCCTGCCCTGACGGCCGCCTCGTCTGCTTGCCAAAGGTGCGGCTTAGAGCTTTCTGGAACGTGCTCCTTCCTCCGCCTGAACGAGTCCCTGAAACTTCTTCTGAGTCGATCCATTCTTTTAGGTGAGCCTCGCCGTTCACCCTGGAAAAAATAAACAAATATGGTTTAATAAAAAAGCAAGGCTTAAAAACGGAATATGTGATTTGTTAAATGTTCAATGAACTCTGGAAAGGTTTTATTCTCCATGCAATTTTTTTTGTTAAATAAACAAATAGATGTACATTAGAGATGAAATAAGCTGGCGTTTAATTTTATAATGAATTGCACAGCCATTTTTGACAAGAAACCTAATAACAACCAAATGTAGTTTGCATTAAAACATGTTCTAGATATTAAAATGAAGACTCATGAGTCATTGCTAACACATGATCTAGGCTTGTTAACTTTCTTTAGGCATTTTCAATCTTGGACAGCTTTCAAAATTTTGGCGAGCAAAGAGGGCTTCTTTCTTTTTATCTGCTTAATGAGGGGGTGGAGATTATTTTTTTCTTCCAACCAGCTATACACAAATATTTGGATATGTTGAAGTGCATGTTGATGGTAAGTTCTTAAGCTTAAAAATATTCTCACCATTGATATTTTTTAAGCTGGATAAACAATTTTATTTTGGCGTAACCATTTTTGTGTTAACAGAGAGTGTGTAGGAGTTATGCTAAGGTTAGGTCAGGTTAGGGTAGGCTTAGGTTAAGCCAGGTAGAGTAAGAATGGACTAATGCGAAATAGTTCATCAAAGGACCATCTTGGAAAATAACAACAGAATAAACCTAAACATGAGAACTAGAATGATAGTTAAGACTGCTGACTGGACACTGGAGTATGAAGTATAGCTCGAAACAGCAGAAAGAATACCATAATAATATTTACTTTATTCGACCTTCTGTTAGTGTGAAGGTCTACGTAGGCTTTAGATTCCTACTCCTTTGATAGGAAAGCAGGATGCACATAGGAGTTATTTGTAAAGCTTTGGGATTTGATAAAAGCCTTAAACTTAATGACGAGCTAAAAATAATAATGGAGATTGCACAATAGACATCGTAAAGGTGGTAAAGAGGTCGACTTCGTTTAACCTTTAGGGGCAGTCGATGTAAGCTGTTAAATGCTAACTTAGACTAGGTAGGGTTAGGGTTAAGGATGGGTTGGGTGAGGTTAGGCCTATTTTTCTCTCTCTCTCTCTCTATCTACCTCCTTCTCTATCACACACACACTTTCTTCCTCACTCTCTCTCTCTCTCTCTCTCTCTCTCTCTCTCTCACACACATATTCTCTCTAACTCTTTCTCCCTCTCACTTACTTTTTTAACTGTCGTTCTCCACCCCTTCATTTTTGGCAATCTGCATCAATTTAGTTTCCTCTCTCACTCTCTCTCACACTCTGTCTCTCTCCCTCTTCTGGACAAGCAAGTTCAAATTATAATAAGGACAAAATAACGCAAAGAAAGTTATCAGAATGGAGAATATACAGATCTATGATCAGCTTAATTAAGTATTATTTTATTATTATTATTTTTAAATCGTTTTCTACCATTTTGGTCTACCTATTCTCACTGTTTTGGTCTGTCATGCTCCGCTTTTCGCCATCTTTAGTGGTGGATCAAAATTGCGAGGATAGTTTATAATCCAAGATAATTAAAGTCCAACAAACTAAGTATTCATCACCCCTAAGACAGAATTAAGCATTATTTAGAGATCGTGAGTTACGGTCTGGTGTGATGTAGGTTTAGAAAAACATTTTTTTAATCGTGTGAACGTTTCGATCTTTATTGAGATCATCTTCAGAGCCTGGGGTTTATAAACATTGTTTAAATTATACAAATACATATAAGATATGAATATGAATTTATACAATAATGTACACAATACAGAAATTTTAAGTTTAATCGAAATATTTGTACTCACTCAAAGTGTGTTTTTTGTGTAGATGTGTCACGGTTGTGTGTCGTGTTGAGAGTGTTAGTGAGATATTAATGTTTTTTGGTTTTTATGTTTGATTTTGTAGGAGTGGGGAAGGAAGTTGGGATAGAAAGACCTGTTTCTATGAGGAGTCGGCTTCTTTGAAAAGCCCTTAATACAGAACAAAACAAACATAAACGTAACTTTTTAGAAATGATTTACATCAACAGACATAAACACATATACTGCAGAACAGACACAAACTCGGCCGTATCTATGCTAATATCATAAATCAAATTCAATATCAATAACATACATATAACACACAAAGCAGATAAAACAACCCATTTATTTTTAGTGGACTAATTGACCAAATGACCTCTTTCAATTAATTATTCTTTTTATGTACGGTCTTGGTTGATGATATAATACAACATAAAAAACAATCATTACACTCCACACATCAAACAATTCTACATGGTCCAAATTCCCCACAATTTATTTCTCCTTTCGCTAATAATCTCGTCTATAATAATCCTGAAAGGCTATCTAGGCACGACAAACCATTACCCTTTTTTCTTTGTCGGTCCATTCCTCAAAGAAGCCGACTCTTCGTAGAAAAACGAATTTCTATTCCTACTTCCTTCCCCATTTCTTCAAAATCAAACATACATAAACAAAAAACCTTAATATCTCACTAACAGACTAACACTCTCAACACGACACACAACCGCGATAATCTACACAGAAAACACACATTTTGAGTGAGTACAAATACTTTGACTAAACCTAAAATTTCTATGCTGTGTCGTATAAATTCATAGTCATATCTTATATGTATTTGTATAATTTAAACAATGTTTATAAATCCCACGCGCTGAAGATGATCTCAATAAAGGTCGAAACGTTAGCACGATAAAGAAAATGTTTTTCTAAAACTACATCACACCAGACCGCATCTCACGATCTCTAATAATTAATTAACGATTACTAAATACTCCGTTCTTCTCGAGTAAAAATGTGTGGTGATTAGTGACCGTTAGTCGATAATTATTCAGAAATAGTGAGATGCGGTCTGGTGTGATGTAGGTTTCAGAAAAACATTTTCTTTAACATGCCAAGGTTTCGATCTTCATTGAGATCATCTTCAGGGCCTGGGATTTACAAACGTTGTTTAAATTTAACAAATATATGTAGGATGTGGAAAAAAGTGAATTTATACAATGCAAAAAATATTTTTTATATTCAATCAAAGTCCCCCTCAAAGTGTCTGTTTTTTGCGTAGAAGTACTTTGATTGAATGTAAAAAATATTTTTGCATTGTATAAATTCACTTTTTTCCGAATCGTACATGTATTTGTTAAATTTAAACAATGTTTGTAAATCCCAGGCCCTGAAGATGATCTAGATAAAGATCGAAACGTTGGCACAATAAAGAAAATGTTTTTCTGAAACCTACATCACTCCAGACCGCATCTCACGATTTCTGAATAACTAAATATTACAAAATTAAACGTTAAATTACTTAAAATTTAAGTCTTTTTATGATGTTGGTTGGATTAATGTTCTGTGATATGGAATTTATTTTCTATTGCATTCAGTCATACTTTGTCCCCTTATTAAAGAAAATATTCTGTTTATATCCAGGTTCATCAACCCAGCAGGCCTCATCAGAAGATCATACAAGTTAAGATTACACTTGCATTGTATATAATTTCTATTCAATATCAAACTACTATTTCTGTTGTAAATTCTAAGAGTTTACGTAATATTTTCTTATAAAGAATAATTAGCATTTCTCATTTAAAAGAAATACATTGGTGCAGAAACATTCCCAGTAGTTTTTACCAAGGTTGTTCTTCCTTCCCTCAAAAGATTCCCACAGCTGTTTCTCCCGGCCGAGGAGAGCCTTTCGCCCATATTCTTTGTAAATTTACAAACGGCCCATTGCAAAATAAAAGATACCCAAGAGTGAATAAATTCCTGGAGTCGTTGACGGACCCACCCGAGGGGGGTAAAGCACGCTGGGCGTGGGAAGACGAAGGACGGAAGAACAGCTGGTGCCGACTTCCTGTATGGCTGTATAACGGATATTTCCGAGCAAATCCTCGTCTGGACGGACAGGTATCCACAATTGATAAATAGGATCGACGGTTTACAAAGTTCGTCAACTGTGACCGATGTAGTCCGGATATTAGCCTCCCTTCGTGCAGAGTTTGTTTCAGGTTTAAATTGGTTATACTGTCAGGTCAAAAGAGGATGATGGTCTACTAAAGTAATTATGATAAAACTGATCAATTAAAAGATCAGTAATAAACTAGCAGAAGTTATCATCATAAGACGTTTTAGCCATAATTTGATTTCTTTCTTCAGACGACATCAAACTTCGTTGGCTGTACAAATACAATTTTTGCCACTTCCAACGACTGCATATGAAGGTTTGCTTGGCCACCAGTTTTTATTAACGAATATCTCAGTTTTTAGCCCAACTGTTTGAGTCCTGTTGACAGTTCCACTCTCGAAGTTCTCGTGGAAGGTCCTTACCAAAGAGAACTACTTTGGGGTTAAGTTTGCCAATAACAGCCCATTTTGGCATCCTATCAAACCATTCTTTCCGAAATCAAAATTTCCTCTTCAGCCGATAATCTTTCAATGGAAAAACCAGACGACATATAACTCTTCTATTTTGTTTGGTCCACATTGTCCAAATAAAGAGCTCGTGAATATAAAATTAAGCAAACAATTCATGCTTCGCACTCTCATATTTTCTCCGATCTCACAAAAACATTGAATCATGGATATGTAACACAACCCAAACTAGTACAAACTAACCTAACCACCCTCTAACCCTAACTAACCTAAATTAACCTAACCTATCCCTAACCAATTCCTATTTAGACACTAGCCTAAACTAACCTAACCCACCTTTAACCCTAACTAGCCTACATTAACCTAACCCACCTCTAACCCTAACTAACCTAACCCACCGTAACCATAATTTGTCTAAATTAACCTAACCCACCTCTAACCCTAACTAGCCTAAATTAACCTAACCCACCTCTAACCCTAACTAACCTAACGCACCGTAATCATAATTTGTCTAAATTAACCTAACCCACCTCTAACCCTAACTAGCCTAAATTAACCTAACCCACCTGTAACCATAACTAGCCTACATTAACCTAACCCGCC